TACAACGCTAGAAACCGGGTTTCGATACCCGTGTGGGCAGAGCACAGATAGCTCATTGTGTAGCTTTGTGCTTAGTTCCAAACAAACAAACTGATTTGTTATAAGTGTTTGTTTAATTTTTTGTTTATATTATTTATAGTACTATTTTTGAATACGCCAGTTAAATGTATTGAAAGGTTTTTTCGATTGTTCCTATACTTTTAAACTTTAGTTGTTTTCTTTCTGGTCATAATCTTCCAATTTTCTAGTTTTATTTCAGTGTAAAACAAAGTTTGATTCTAACCTCTACCCCTTTACATTCTTGTTTTCTAGCAAGACTAATACTCTACAAGATTCATTAATATACAACTAGCGTTTGTTTGAAAAATCTTCGATGGAATTTTTATAATTGCATTAATTGTAGACGGTATTTCACCTTTTTATCTTTCGCATTTATCTGTCTGTTTCATCAGTGTCATTTGTCTTTTTCATTTATTTTTCTAGTATTTCACTAATATTGCTTATATATTTTTTTACGCCATGAACATTACTTGAAATTCCAAATCAATTATCCGAAACTTGTTCATGACAAACCTAAGCACTGTGTCTCCTGTCAAACGAAAGGAAATTCAATGTGAATGACAAGACTGCGTTTAGAATTTCTCAAAATACTCGTCTGTAAAGTTTTAAAATATTTATGTGCTGCAGATATATAGTTACAAATAGTTTTTATCTAATTTTCCATTTCATTCATGCGGAAAATCGATTTTTTTTCGGTTTCCTATATTAATTTAATTGAAAGGCATAATTTGTTTTAATAATGGACAAATGTTTTGAACAAAAATGAAAAAAATCAATAAAGTAGCTACAGTAATAACCTAATACTTGTTTTGGCTACAGTACACGAGTTCCAGTATACCATAATATATTTCTTTATGTATGGTGATGGTGACTGTAAAACTAAATCTTAACTTAATTAAATATACTTTTTGAAGTATCAATTCATATGTCTCTTTGGTTATCAACTTCACGCCTTACGTTATCAAGTTATTGTTTAGCAATAATTTTGTCTTGCTATGAAAATACACATCATCACTGGATATATCATACTGATCCATGACATACAGTTAACACATTTTCTAACAATTCAATAATTTCGAAGTGGAATGTCATTTGCATAACTAAATTGTAACTATTACTCTTAAAATAAAAATGTCAAATGTCAAAATAAAACAAGAAAGGTAATAATGAAAAGCTTCGCATTATGGTCGACTCTGTCATCATGATGATGATAAGTTTGCTCTTCCAATGATATCATTGTTATACAAAATAAGTAACTCCCAAGTAGAAGACTGTAAACATGAATTCGGATGATTCGTGGTTGCTATTTCAACAAGTGATTGGATAACTTGGATCTATATGTGCACGTCACATATGTAGACGCTGAGGATAAACACAGATCTTATTGGGCACCTAAATGACCAAAAATATATAAATGAACTTTTTCGCTTTAGTAATATATCCTGTTCCCAATATCCCCATATACATATATATATATTCTTTTTTTCTTACCAGAAACGTCAAATTTCAGATATAAATCAAAGATGTAACTAAGTTTGTAGAAATAAGTATACGTTAATTGATAAAGCTCAAAGTTATTAGTGAATGGACGTCAAAATTATGCCTTATTATAGTGTTCTTTAAGGTTAATCTATGTTTAAGTCCATGCGTGTTATTGTTAAAAAACAACAAATACATATAAGATATAAAAGCATATTTTATTTGATATGAATGAATAGATTTTTGGTATCTTGGTTACCTATAACGTACACAAGAAAAAACTGATATTGTTAAGAAAGATTAAAGATCAGCAAAAACTAAAGTTATCGCCGTTTGGTGTCACGCCGTTTGCTTGAAGATATGCATGAAAAATAACTTTGGAGTTTGTATTTTATCACAATAAAACATGGTACTAAAATGTTTATAAATAGTTTCTAATTAGTTTTTAGATAGACTTTAACGAATGTGATGATATATATATAGAGAACAGTTTAATATGTCCTTATATTGCCGTTAGTCAACATTATATTTAGATGTAAATAGTTTCCAGTGAACTGTTGCATAAAACTGAACAAATCTGCTTACTTGTCTATAAATTGTAAACAAGCAACATGTAATGTTAGCTACGTGTTGTATAAATACGAAGAATGTGT